TTAGAAGGATTTTGACGGTGGACACGAAGGGAAGGGATCCTCAGGGACAAGATGTCTCAAGAAGATTTCACAGTTAGAGCCCTGCGGTTGATGATATGAATCCTAAATTATGGGAATTATGGTATATTCCTTATTATGGGTCATGCAGGATTCATATCATCAACCGGAGGGCCGTCTCCTCAAACTGAGGGCTGGGACAGGCGGCCTCCTTAGGGCTTAATGCCGCTGAGGGTTTAGGGTATCCGTCACTTCGCTCTGTTTCCTTAGGCTTGCTGCGCTAGGTCTGCGCAGCTTTGCAATCTGTGCTACCCGACTAACATGACTGCTGTTGAGCAGAAGAAAGATAGAGGCGCCAAAACCCGAACTCCCGAACTAAAGAAACAGCAACCCTCTAGCAAAATCAACTCTAGACTCTAAACCCTAAACGCTGAGCAGTGCAGAACCAACCCAACACCCCCTATGAACTCCTAAACCTCCCCAAACCCTAAACCCCAGGTACTCTGAAGTTGCAGGAGTGGCACATTAAACCCAAAGTCCACGGGCTCCTTGGTTGCACAAGGCGGGAGGGAAGCTACGGACAGAGAGCCCTAAACCCTAAACCCTAAACCCTAAACCCTAAACCCTAAACCCTAAGCCCTAAGCCCAAGTTTAAGTTAAGGTCTTCAAGCAGATGGCCTAAGCCCTAAGACCCGAACCGGGGCCCATGATTTCAGAAATACGGGTTGATGATATACATCCTGCAGTACCTTAAGGACCCTGAACTATGGGAATTATGGTATATTCCTTATTATGGGTAATGCAGGATTTATATCATCAACCGTATCAAAATCAGCACCCATATTCAAGAAAACGCATACATACCCAGTATGACTTGGTAACTCACTCGACTGCAGCTACCACCCTAAAACGCCTTGTGCTCTCAGGTTCGGGTTTAGGGTCGTTCAATCAGCAAACCACACTTCTCGGCAAACTGTGTAACCCTCTCTTTGCCAGCTGCTCGCATGACCAACCTACAGTAAACACTTATCGCGGTTCCTACTGAAGCCTCACGCTGTTTGCATTTTGGTTCGAAAGGCTCGAGTCTGTCTTGGTGTCGACGAGTCGCAGGAATCGAGCAGATCTTCATTCAAACAAGGGCCGAAAGCCTGAACACGCATCCCTAAACTCCTTGACCCCTAAACCCTAAACCTTGAATCCTAAATTCCGGAACCCTAAACCCTAAACCCTAAAGCCTGAGCAGCCTGGGAAGAGTCGGGCGTCGGTGTATTCCTGCAGAGTGAGAGACCCCGTCTTCGCCACGATGCCGTAGACCGACGCATAGAGCCTCGGAGTTCATGGGTTTAGGGTTTGGGGTTTAAGGTTTAGGGTTTAGGGTCTTCAGGTTTAGGGTCTAGGGTTTAGGTTATACGGTTTAGGGTTTAAGGTTTATGTTCTCAGGTTTTTGAATGCATTCATCCTTTCTCCTGCTTCCACGACCCTGCCTTTGACAGGCTTGCACTGAAAGACATTAACAGCAGTTCACCCCTTTGTCGGGGTTTAGGGTTTAGGGTTGAGGGCTACATTTAGGCATTGACAGATAGTAAGGACTCAGGTTGACAATCCAGGGCTCACCTATTTCTTCGGCTTTCTGGCCTGTGCCGAAGGCAATCTCGGTACAATCCAGGCCGAAGCTTCCGACTTAGTACGGAAGTATGGCAGCTACGAATTATGCTTTCCGAAGCTTCCCCGAATTGGGTTTAGTACGGAAGCACTGAAGCTACGAATGCCAGGGTCTCGCAGCAGTCCATCGAAAGCCTTTTCGGGACGCATGCAGACCTCGTGCAGACTTGGTGCGGGTAGATCGGCCGTACTTCCTTGGCCATAGTCAAGGTCTCACGGAGTCTGGGGTGTGGTTTAGGGTCGCGGCGGCTTGTGTTTTTGTAGGGTGAGGTGATGGCCCAGCACAAGAATGTATCATAAACCCTACACCCTAAACCCTAAACCCTAAACCCTAAACCCTAAACCCTACACCCTAAACCCTAAACCCTAAACCCTAAACCGTATAGTAATCATGCGGTCTGCAAGGTTGGGGTTGGGGGCTTTACGGTCTTCGGCCTGCCCGGTTTCATGACTGCGCGGACGTGTCACTGCTCTTCGACAACACTAGGGTGGTTGTCAAAATTATGGTCCCTTTTTGGGTCCCTAATATTCTACGGCACCTAAAATTTAGGGTACCCAAAAAGGGACACTAATTTTGACAACTACCCACTAGGGTAGCTTGGCAAGGAACCTTATTGCGCGGACGTCTTGTGAATCGTGGAGAGCATCTAACGGACAGCTTCCAGCAAACCCCACCCCCAATCCCAGACACCCGACAAAACCTGAACCTGAAACCCTCAACCCAAGATGCCCGAAAAGCGTAAACCAGTAAACCCTGCACAAATTGAAATCCTGAAAGATTGAACCTTAACCCAAGACGTCCAAAGCCCCAACATTCCCCAAACCCTGCGCTCTAACGATCAGTCCCGAAGCCCCAGAACCGGCTGCATGGCTGATGGTTTGGCTTGCCTTTGGCTTGTCGGGAATGGAAGAATGGTAGAAATAGTAGTCAAAATTGTACCCCATTCCTCCATTCCCTCCTAACCAAAAGGTAAGTTGGTTTGCTTTTTGAAAGCAGTTGGAGGTTTAGGGCTAAGGATTTTAGGTTCTGGGTGCAGGGTTTCGTGGCTCGTGTCTAGATTTCAGGGCTCCTTTTCAGGGCTCCTCTAAGGGCTCCTGTAAGGGCTCCTGTAAGGGCTCCTGGAAGGGATCCTTTAAGGGCCGCTTTGAAACCCTTGGGGCTTAGGTGCGAAGACAAGATTCGGCGATGAGAAAGTGTAGCAGTGCCGACCAACCTCGACGAAACAGGGCCATAGGGTTTAGGGTTTAGGGTTTAGGCAGAATGCAAAGCAGAAGAAGAAGAAGAAGAAGAAAACGAATGAGAAAGAATGATCATAATTGCCATGAACAGGCACAGGACACCTTAAGCGATTTTTGAAGGGGTTCAATAAAGGTTACTTATAAGGGTTCTATAGTGTAGGGGCTTTAACAACTATAGAATGGGGCCTTGGAGTACTGTGTGCTACGCTTGCATGAGCTGTGGGGTTTTTTGGCGAAAAGAAACTGGTTCTACACTGTAGGGACATGAATACCTACACTAGTGTTGTGGTGACTGTTTTGTATACTTTTCTTAGACTGACTAAGTATTCAAGTCCGGCCGCTATAGTGCACATAAGCCTCCGCAGAGGACTGTATTACGGCTGACGGTCAATTGAACTTGACAAGGTGCTCGCAGGCTTATCCAGAGAGCCCAATATCCCTTAATTAAGGAATATTCCCCAAATCATATTAGGGATCCTACTATAATTTAAGGTATCTTCCTTCACTAAGGGGTATTGGAGTCTCTGGGTTATCTTTCTCAGCTTCCGAAAATAAGGCCACTGTAGCCTATATACCAAGCAGTGGAAATTAGTCTTTTGAAGCTTCCCTCTATGGTGTACAAGTGTACAATAATGAAGACACTATCCCGGACGGGTTATGGAGTTCAAGGTGGGGTTCAGCCGCCATCTCCTCAACATAATTCACCTTAGTCGCACCACCACGCATACGAAACTGTCTGTCAGACTTTGCTTCCTTGCTACCCGATGCACACAGACACAGCTTCTTATCCGATCGGTCTTGTGGAACATGCTTTGGCTAGCGGCCAGCCTTGTCAAATCCCCATTGCTTCGAGGGATTAGGGTGTTCAGGAAGCGGATGGTGTAAATCCTGCAAAACAACAGCTGGAAACTAGCAGCCCTAAGCCCCAACTAAACCCTCGATCAGGTCCCTAGACCTCAAAGCTCTCGTGTCCCTCAACCCCCTCAAATCATACGAAGACCCCATGAACGGCCATTAAACCCTAAACCTAGTTTCGCAGGAAGGCAAAGGCAGCAGCTGCCACGGCAGCAGCGTCCCATGGGTCGACATGCATCGGAAGTCTGCGATATGGGTCTTGTGATACATTATACATTCTTAAGGTTGAGGGGCTGAGGGTGAGTTATTTGGGTGTACATTACCGAGGTTTAGGGTCTGAGGGTTGAGGGTGAGTTGTGGGGTTTTAAGTTTTAGGAGTGTCTGTGGGGTTGCGTGCCCCAATGCCTTCTTTTGCGGGCCCCTCAAGATTGCAAGCTCTTTGTGATAAGGATACGTAACCGTAGAAACCTTGATATTTAGCTCGAAGGGTTCCTGGCACCTCCGAGACAGGGCCTGAATACAGCACATAGCGAGGACCTCGCAAATGTTCTTGAAAGGTTTAGGGTTTGGGTTTGGGGTTTAGGGTTTAGAGTTACTGTAAGGGTTTAGGCTTTTAGGGTTTAGGGTATTGAGATGTTCTGAGTCTCGTTGCTGCATCGAGCACGACCAGAGGACAGTTGTTCAAAATACATCCCTAAGCATTCATGCAGCAGTAACACTTGATCATAAAACGGACCCCAAAAGCGATCCGGCAATGGGAGCAGCCCCCAGACACAATGCGAGATTAGATTGATGGACTGCGAGGCAGCGACACATCCTACTTAAAAATTTGGAATAGCTGACACGTCACAAGCGCTCTGCAGCAAAGTCAGGGGCAGATAAGTTACGGCGGTCGACTGGGGTTATAGTGTAGATATATAGATGGATAGATAGGTACTAAGATAAGTGGATATCGATTGTTGCTTTGCTTCTGTCTCCACCTCCAGCTTCACTTTACATTGTGGGGCCGGCTGCCTACCAATAATTATGCTAACCTACAACTACAATCCTTGACCCCAACCCCGCAGTGTGAGGTACTTTGACCCCACAAGGTAACCGCCTATGAACCTTCAATTGCTCCTTTTCAGCACGGCAGGCCCATGCACGACCAGTGCCAATAAACACCTCAAGTCAACGACCACTAAGCCCATATTCCCCTGTACCACCACACGACTATGAACCTGGCACAGGGACGGAGCAGCGCGTACCCGAGACCGCCGTCAGTGTAGTCGAAGGGATTGCTGTTGAGCGCCGCCCCCTCAGGATAAAGGGGCTAGGGGTTTTCGGGCTTTCGGGCTTATGGGCGGAGAGAAGCCACGTTGTGCAAACACGGGCTGCTGGAAGCTGGGCCCAGACCTTTCGAAGAATCCCGAAAAGACAAAAAACAACAAGTAAGAGGTATCCGTCTGTTGAATCCAGAAAAGGGTCTTCTGAAGTCAATACTTCCCACGACTTGCTCGGATGCAAGATCCCTGAGAACAACGACTCAGTGCCGGAAGTGATGCCTCTGCCTCTGCACCGTGGTCGAGAGCCTTCGTCAGCTCCTGCGACCGCATGTGTGAGGCAATGCCAGGGGCTTACGATGTGATCAGTTGAACTGGACACCCATGATCTGTGCAGTGCAGGCCAAAGACAAAGACTCAGAGCTAGTGACCCCGTCAAATCTTGAAGACTAACACGTGCCTAAGTTGCTGAGTTCATAAACCCTCCAAAAGTGTGCAAATTTAGTTTTATAGTGGGTAACATTATCCCAAAAAGTGTAAAGTGTATCCACTCAGCTACTAGGGTGCAAAAGGGACTGACCTTGAAACTCAAGAGTTCAGAATATGCATGCGACCCCCGCCCAGCCTTAACACCGAAAAACCATTTTCTTTCTCCAAGGGTTACAAAACGAAATCGAAAGCTACGAAGGTAGGTTCTTTCGGGTCACGGAATATCTCCAGAAAAAGATCTACGAGACTGTCTAAGCCGACATGAGAGCCCTCTTTGCAACCCTTAGGGTCCGAGGATCCAATAATGATGTACTTGGATTTATTGATAGAAGCAAGGTTGGGTTTCAGTTTGTCTTTGCACGGCCTGTTGGATTTAGGGCTTAAGATACTCTTCGATTTAGAGGCTTGTGGTTTAGGGTCAGAAGCCATATCAGCTGCTTGAACAAAGGTCGGATGCCTGTCCTCAAGGGGCTCCACGACGACTTTTGTCGGGAACAGCTGCGGGCCCTGCGTCAGCTGAGGAGAGAGTTTAGACTTATGGGCTCATGTAAGTACGGGCCTTCATCATCAGAATAGGGTTGCGGGTATAGTGTCGCATAGCTATGATAAGGAACCCTCAACAACACCGACTGGAGATTACTCAATCAAGCTCTATACTGGCTTCAGAAGTCCTCGTCCACGGCGTTGCTCTTTTGTTGGTTTCGCGTGCGCACATCAGGATCCGCACTCTAACATAGCAACAGGCCGGACGATCGACTGTGTGATTCTTAGTAGGGAATGGGGGAATGGCTCCCTATAGTAGTATATAATCTCCAATAGGAGTCTCCATAACGCATTCCCGCCTTCCCTTCTACCAACCAGACAGAGACGATAGATACCCTAAGACCCCTTATAGAATCCTTACAGGACCTTGTAAAGGAACCCTTAAAGCAGAACGCGTCGAAATACGGGCCTGGGTTTTTGACTACAACTCCATACAGCATACAAGTTGTCTTGTCTAAAGGAACCCCATTCCCTACTAAGAACCAGACAGATGAAGGCCCCTCTTTTTTTAGTTCCAAGCCGGGAGACCTCGGTGATTTCCGGTGTAATGGGCTCCGACACCACCTGGGTCACCACCCTGCAGGCAATTCAGAAGAATTAGGGTTTAGGGCTTAGGGTTTAGGGGTTAGGCTTTTTTAAAGTTGAGTTGACTTTTACGTCTGCTTGCAATCGGCTCTCAACGACATCCAGAAAGGCCCTCACGCAGGGTTCAGGGTATAGGGTTTCAGAGGAAGAGGAAGCAGTGATTACTTGTTTCGCGAGTTTGGAACTCGCTCTTGCCACTAAATACTATGGGCAGCCCATGATTCAAACACGATGAGTGCTGCCCTACATTGTACACAGTCTAATCAGTTCCACTGAGGATGATACGGATAATGGAAATTCGCTGAATCTTGCAATCATGAAGTCCGCTGCCGGATTGGTTGGCGCGTTTCCTGAAAGGTGCCGCAGATAGATATGGGCCATTCTCTACATCAGGTCCTTTTTGTAAGTGCGCCGAACCATTCTGAGACCCAAACCTAAACCGAAAAACTCTATAGTAGAAGCCAGAAGGTTGGAACATGACTTTAGGAGAATTAGTGCTAGGATCCCTTATACTTTACCTTAAGGGCATGAGGCCAATGATGTTCCAACTTTCTGGCTTCTACCCTAAACCCTAAACCCTAAACCCTAAACCCTAAACCCTACGCCGTACCCTTGAGCCTGGATCCTGGTTAAGGGTGGAACGCCATGAAGGAGCTACATGGGAGCTTCCGACAGTAGGGGACCCTTATTGTTCCTTTAAAGGGTTACTATAATTAATTAGTTCCTTTAAAGGGTTACTATAAGGGTACTATAAGGGTTCCTTTTAGGGCTCTATAAGGGTTTAGGATGCCCCAAAAATAGGGGACCCTAATATAGTACCCTAAATAGTAGGATCCTTATGATAAGGACCCCGAAATAAGGTACCCCGAACTTTCGGAAACTCCCACATGGAGGTTTGGGGGGTTACTTCAATCAAGGCTACGAAAGCTTCTTGATGTTCAGTGCACTTACCTGTATTTACGAGCAAACCATCTGTCCCCTTTACAGGTGGGCTCTTATGTATGAGTATTTGAACCAGGTTGTGAGTACCCCGAACTTCCAAACATTCAGTCAAGGTCAGAGATTCAGGCTTCCGGCTATCTAAAGCCGGAACCACAGGCGGTGCCAAACTCGCCTGACTGCGTGGCGTCAGCCGGCACTGAATGAACTGTGATTTACAGGGTCCCCCCAAAGGGGGTATGGCAAACACTGTTTACTAGCAAGGGCTGGCGAGAATCCGATGCGCATGCAACGCATCTGCGCACATGTGTTTCCATCCTCCCATGGCATCCACCCACCCCTGTCTGCCCGCCTATGATTTTCGTCGTCTTGTTCAGGGTTTCTCTGCTGTGTCCGCTCCTCCCAACCCGCTGGCCGTGGTGCAGGAATCAAATCGCTTGCGGCTCGAGAAGGCATGAAACCTTTTCTTGTCCCTTGGAGCGGAGGGGCGCAGAGTGGGCCGAGAATCACAGTGTCAGCCGGGAGAGGCAGGGGTTGCAGCGGGGCAGGCGGCAGCGCAAGGCAGGGATAGGAGTAGGGGCGGGGAGGAAGGCAGGTGAAGGGGCAGGGGCAGGAAGCGGCAGGGGCAGGGCCAGCAGCCAGGGCTAGGGGGGCACTCCGCAGCACTCTGCAAGGCTTTGCAAGCCTTGCGGAGCGTTGCGGAGTGTTGCGGAGCGTTGCGGAGCGTTGCGGAGCGTTGCGGAGCGTTGCGGAGTGCTGTCCCCTCGTCGTCCGGCAGCACTCCACAACACTCGCAAAATCTCGCAAAGGTTGCAACACAGTCAACGAGGGTGCCGCCACCGATGCCGCCGCCCACCCCGCCACTGCCCGCCGCTCTGCGCGAAGTGCGCCCGAGCCCGAGCCCGATTTCGAGTGAGCCGCTCCAGCTCGAGCACACTCGACGCGAGCCCGAGGCGCCTTCACCGCCGTCGCTGCCCCCGCTCGGCGGGGCTTGGGACTACGCAAACTTTCCAAAGCCTTCCGCCCCACTGCGCACAGGTTGCTCACGCTGATGGAGGAGGAGATGAGGAGGAGGAGTGGGAGGAGTTGTAGTCCTACTGCTCACAACCTGACGGTGTGCCTCGATATCACCTTGCAGGCCCTATTAAGGCTTACTAAGGCCCGAAACTGCTCAATAACGAAACAAACTATAAAGGCCTACTAGCTTTTGCTAGGGCTTGCTAGTGCCTGCTAGGCCTTGCTATCTCAGCTGCTTGTCTCGTTTGAAACTCGATTTGGCATACCCCCTTAGGGGGGTCCCTTTAAATCACCTCCCACTGAATGCACTCACGCATCAGGCCCTAAGCCACAAACCCCAAGCAACCCAAGCACTAAACACGAGAGAACCCAGACCAAACCCGAAAACCCTAAAGCCTAAATCCGCCAAACCCGAAAACTCGAGCCCGAAACCTCGATCCCTGAATTCTCACCAGCAAATGGATTCGAAAGAACAAAGGGCAGAGGGCCCCTACTTTTAAGCAGCATCCTATGGCCATCAAGGATACCAAAGAACCCACCTCTCTTGAGGACTTATATAAGAAACTCCCTCAAACTTGTAGGTTTGCAAGGGCCCTGGCAGGGTTTCAACACCAAAACATTCTCCCCAAAATCCGAAACCCACATGTCGGAGTCGTATACTCCCATGATCCGTAAGGATACCTCAAACCAATTCGGCCTCGAGGGGGGCAAAGCTTGGGCACGGTGGCCTGACAGACACGAAGAGCCCAGGGTTTGAGGGCTTTGGGGGTTCAGGGTTTAGGTCTTTAGTTATTTGGGGGTTTTGAAGCTTTGGGGGTTTTAGGGTTTTCGGGAGTTGAGAGTCTTTCGAAGGTTGGGTTTTGGGTTTTTGGTGATACTTTCGCGCTCCTACATGTTCTTCCGGAGTTGATAAAGGTCCTGCAGGGGTAGGAAAGGGTTTCGAGAAGGCTTTAAAAGCGGCTTACAGGCAAAATGACCTCCAATGGAGTTCGTTTGTGGGTTAGGGGACTATGATATAGCAAAAGGAACAACACTTGAGAGTATAGGTAGGGTTCTCACGCGAACTCCGGAAACTCATTTAGGACGCGGTGGCATACGTAGTGCTCCACTGATTACCTGTAGGGTTAAGCTGGACATCGTGAAGCCGCCACTAACTTTACCTAGGATACCCAGTAACCTAGGAATAAAAAGGCCTCTCTTTTTGGTGTTGGGTAACTTTATAGGAACCTAGGACTACAAAAAGGGAATAAGGGTACTACTGGGCATCCTAGTTACCTTTCTTGAATTCCTCGAAGGCGCAGCTGAACTTCCATTTGGTCTCTGTGTTGCAGTGCCAGAATCTATCGAACACGAAGCCAGGGTTCGCAGGGCTTCTAGTAGAAGACTGTGTATGCCGTGGGAACGTAAGGGCCTGAATGGTGCTGTTGGGTAAGAGACGGATGGGCCGAAAGCCCAGCAGAAGGGTTTAAGTGTAGTTGATAGCGGTCTTAGGCTTGGAACTTGTCGGCATGAGGATACGTACCCTAAACCCTAGCTCCCTAGAGCCCAACAAAGGCAGAGTCCTGCAACTCTCTCAGCTCTCGTTGCTTCAGCCCAAAAAACCACAAAGTCATATAGACCCCTATACAACCCTTACAGAACTCTCTTGGTTGTAAAACCCTTACAAAATCCGGTAGCACATGTAGACACCGGCGGTGCCTGCAGTGAGTGCTGGACCGTGAGAGACCTTCCGCAGAAGAAATCTTGATTAGGCGTTCCCCTAGGGCTTAATGTAGCGGCCTTCATAATTAGCACAGGGTTTTGGGGCCCACTATACTCTGATTATGATAAGGAACCTCCAAAACAGTGTAGGTAATTATTAAGGCCCCTATATAAGGCCTTCCCAGGGCGCAGGGTTTCGGCCAATTCATTGACACGCCTGGGGGCTTAGTGGAAGGGTTTTGTTGTAAATAGCCCCGTTTTCCAGTAGATCCCCTAATTTGGGGCCCTATACTACTGAGGGTACTTTATAGGAACCCCCATTAAGGGATCTACTTTTTGGATCCTCCCCCAGGGTCTGAGTTGGAACAGCTGCTGTCCGGGCAAGCCAACCTGATCGGTCCAGCATACGCTCTTTAGCTCCAGGGTTGGAGGTTCATGGGTAGTTACAAGGGTTCCCTTTAAGGGCCCCTTTAAAGGGATCTGCAAGGATTCTGTAAGGGTATAGGGTTGAGGGTCTACTTGGAGGTTCATGGGTAGTTATAAGTGGGGTTATAACTAGGGTAACTATGGTTATAACCCCTATCAGGGGACTTATAACCCCATTTATGGCTACCCATGAACCTCCAAGCAGGGTTGGATGGCAGATGGCGCAACTAGACGCCAACTTGACCGAGAGTCAACCCTCTGAAACGCAGCAGGCGAGCTCAGTTGAACTAAATATCAAGCACCTCTCATTATGCTGTAAGGCCCTGTTCCTTAGTTGATTGCGGTCTCGATTGTGCTTTCTGCGGAAGGCAAAGACTCTACGAAGCTGGCGATCCCTTGCCACTTTCAACGGCCTGTTATGTTATAACTATGTTCATGATATGTCATATTCCGCTGTGATGTTATATCATGTGATATTATACTGTATGGTACTGTTTCATACTATATTATGGCAAAGTCTAAGAAACACCACCCCCGCCGTCCTGCTTCAAGCACTCTATCGCCACATTACTCGGCGCACACCTCCCTAAGCCCTAAACCCTATAAGCATAAACCGCGAACCAATTCCCAAACCCGAAACGTTGAAAACGAAGCCGGCCGTAAATACTTAAGTACCCATCTACCTATCTATCTATCCATCAATCTGCGCTGCTCTATCTATCGATCTATCTATCTATCTCTATCCATCTATCGATCGACCTACCTATATCTCTGTCTATCCACCTATCTACCTATCTACCTATATACCTATATACCTAACTACCTATCTACCTACCTATCTATCTACCTATCTATCTACCTTTCTAGCAGCCTATCTAGCTACCTATCTATCTACCTACCTCTCTACACACACACACATATATATATATATGTATATATACTTATATACATACATATATATATATATATATACGTGGAGAGAAACAAAGAAAATCCAAGGATATAAAACAATGAAGGCAGAAAGAATGGCAGGACTAAATACATACATAAACAAATAAATAGACAGGTAGATAGCTATGACGGATAGACAGATAGATAGATAGGTAGATACAGACATACCCATGGCCATATACCAATACATAGACATAGCCAGCTCCGATATCTTGATAGATCTACATATTTTTATGCATTACATAGATCTATGCAAAAAATACACACCTAACATAACCGCACAAAGGCACACACGCACACACATGGGCCCGCAGGCTGCCTGGTGCTTTGTAGGGAATGGGGAATGGATCCCTAAAGTAGTCCCTATATAATCAACAGTAGTAGTCTCCATAATCCATTCCCTCGTTCCCTACTAAAAACCACACGTAGAACCCTGTTATAGATCCCTTATAGAAACCTTTTGCGGTCAAAAGTCCCTTACAGAACCCTTTTAAGGACCCCTTTAAAGGGACCGGAATCCCTATAGAACCGCATTGGATCCTTTTAAAGGAACCCCATTCCCTACTTGGAGGCTCATGGGTAGTTATAAATGGGGTTATAAGTCCCGTAATAGGGGTTATAACCATAGTTACCCTAATTATAACCCCACTTATAACTACCCATGAACCTCAAAGTACTAAGAACCAGACGGTTAGGGAATAATATAGGGGCCTTTATAATTAGAATAGAGTTTTGGGGCCCATTATACTATAGTTAAAATAGGGAACCCCCAAAATGGTATAGGCAATTATGAAGGCCCCTATATTATCCTCGGCTTCCGCTCCCTGCCTGGAAGGTCGCTTGCGGCACCTCCCGTCTTTTCAGGGCCGCGCCTCTGGGAGGAGGGATTGACAACTACAGTAGAAGCCAGAAAGTTGGAATATCATTATCGTAACCCCTTTAAGGTAAAATATAGGGGATCCTACCATTAATCCATATTCCAACTTTCTGGAGTTCCCTTTAAGGTTTAAAAAAGAAGGTTTAGAGTTTAGGGCTTAGCTTATAGTTTCAACTTAGCCTAGAGTTTAGAGTCTAGAGTATAGAACTTAGTTTAGAGTTTAGAACTTAGTTCAGAATTTAGGGCTTAGAACTTCTTTAGAATTTCGGGCGTCGGGCTTAGGATTTAGGGTTAAGGGGTGGGATCCCTCAGGTCTACGCACTCCAAACCCTGGATCCTGCCACAAATCCTGGGCCCTGAAGCACACCTTCCTGTGTGGAGAACCTACGATTGGAGGAGGGACTCTCTCCAACTTCGGCAACAGGGGAGGAACTCGCCCCTGAGTAGATCCTTGTGCGCAGTCGTCTAGTCGTCACAGAAAGCCCTTAGCCTCTGATTACTCGACTCGGGGGAATCTGTGACGCCAGAGTTGGCATCAGAGCAATCTGCTGCCTATCTGCCCAAGCTGCTCTACAATCTGAGCAGCTGCTTGTGCCAGGAGTGGCCGCGAATCATGTTGAGCGGGTGTCAACACTGCCAGAGCTTGCTCTCATCTTGTGTCAGGCACTGCCAAGACAAAGGGAACAACGCAAGATGCATGCATCCATGCGAATGGTCTCAATCGATGATAATGGTAAGGGAATGGCGGAGATCCTTTCGATATAGGAGATTGACAATGATGACATTTGCTTCGCCTACTTTTGGCCAGGTCAGCTTCATCAGAAAAGCCTATTGTCTTCGCAAAATACGTACTCGTTGGGCCAGACACCCTAATCCCTAAACCCCCTAACCCCCCTAAACCCTAAACCCTAAACCCTAATCCCTAAGCCCTAAGCCCTAAACCCCTTAAACCCTAAACCCCCTAAACCCTCTAAACCCTAAACCCCCTAAACCCTAAACCCCCTAAACCCTAATCCCTAAAACTTCGGGTTTGACGTTTACCCTTAACTTTTAGTTCTGGGTAACCCCTTGCGATCCGAATGTCCTAGTAGAGCCCTTGAGTCTCCCAGTCCTGGTTTTGAAGTCGCAAGATATGTCCGATCCGCAGGGTTGAAGGCGGGCTTGGTGGCGAGGTTGCTCAGAAATCTTCCGCAATCAGGGTGTCCAGAGGCCGAGAGGAGGGTTGGGCCCACCAGATTAGGCAAGTGGGTTGCTAGGGAGGGATCGGACACAACACCTGAACCCCCTGGACTGTTAGGATCCTTCCGAAGCCGCTGTTGCTCCCGACGACATGATCCTTATCTGTACCATGTACCCTCCAAAGCAAGTCCTTTCGTGGTTGACCTACTTTTTGGATAGAGCCCCTCGAAAGGAAACCAGGTAACCCAAAAACTAAGCTAAATTCGGAACGGATACTCCCAGCTGTCGTATTGCTACTTTTGTACTGATCGTTGTTTTGCCGTCCTTACGAGGGCTTCTGTGTTGTGAACCCTCGGACACAAACAATCTCGGAGTCAAGGCAACAAAATGCTGGCTAAACTCACTAACATGATGGCAGGAGCCACTAAACTCGAACTACTATGCCTGAGCATCTGAATTCTGGAAGACTGCGGGAACGGGACACGGGAAAGAGTCGCAACACCAAGAACGAGCGGCGCAGATGTCTAGGAAGCTCGCTACTTTGCCAACTGAAGCTCCACACATGTGCAGCTTCGGGCGTGAAGTTTGGGTTGGTGGGGCCTCTTGCGAGCGGATTGTTCGTGAACCCGAAATTGTGGGAAAACGATGTATGTAGGGCTATAAACCCGAAACCCCGGACCCTACCTAGCTCCAAAAACCTAAACTCTAAAACCCTTCAAAATTAGGGTCCCTATGTGTGTCCTTATTATGATACGGCACCTATTACTTAGGGAACCCCAAAAAGGGACCCTAATTTTGACAACCACCCATATACTGCCATAAAAGCCAAGCGTCTGCGAGGACCCACGACCACACTTGGACAACTTTTAGGCGTCGGGGGGTGCGCGGACTTAAGGGCTTAGGAATGCTTCGGGTTTCCCTAAACCAGGATTTAGGGTTAAGGGTACCCGAAAACCTTACCTAAACCCCTACCTGAACCACCCTAGCCAGACCCTAAACACGCGACTTGTGGACCTCCTTTGGGTCGCGGCTGCGCAGACAAGGCTGCAGCTGGGGATCTTCGCAGGGTGGTGGGCTCACCTGGCCGTTGCGGACGCTTCCTGGGGTTTAGGGTTTAGGGCTTAGGGGTTTAGTGTTTAGGATTTAGGGTTTAGGGCTTAGGGGTTTAGGGTTTAGGATTTAGGATTTAGGGTTTAGGGCTTAGGGGTGTAGGGTTTAGGGGTTTAGGGTTTAGGATTTAGCAGGGTGTGATGGGAGGCCAAAACGGGGGGGTTGAGATTCTTGGGATAGGGATTCCTTAATATGAACCTATTGTGGGAACCCTAATCCCTACTAAGCCCCCATAGGCTAAAACCCCTTTTCGCCTCCTATGACTGTGAGGGCTCCTCTTGCAACTGGGTTCTTGTTAAAGAACTTAATTTAGGTTACCATCATAGGGATCTAGAAGGGCTCCTTTAAGGGATCTATATAAGGGTGCCTTTAAGGGTTTAGGGCTTAAGGTTTAAGTTACCATAATAGGGATCAATAGTAGAGAAGATGGGTCCTTTCAGGGTTTTCTCTCAGGAGTGCAAGTTGGGATTAGGACTGTCGGGCTTCACGGCCTTAGGTCTTTAGAGTTTTAGAGTTTAGGGTTTAGGGTTTGGGGTTTAGGGTTTAGGGTTTAGGGTTTGGGGTTTAGGGTTTAGGGTTTAGGGCGTGAGGAATAGAAGGTTTTAGGGCTTCAGGGCTCCTGCTTGCCCATGATCCAGTTTTCAGGTTAGGAAGTTTGAGTTAAGAGCCCGCATGAACGGAGCCTAGTCCGCGGTATGACGTGCACATGTATACGTATGTACATATATATATATATATATGTATATATATATATATGGGGGTTTCCGAAAATAGGGGACCCTAATGTAGTACCCCAAATAGTAGGATCCTTATTATAAGGACCCCAAAACAAGGTACCCCTAATTTTCGGAAACTCCCATATATGTACACGAAGTGTATCCACTCAGCTACTAAGCAAAGCGTCTAGCCCAACGGGCTGATCATTGTGGTCGACGGCCTCCACTTGTTCTTTGTCCACCTAGGATACCCAGTAACCTAAGAATAAAAAGGCCTCTCTTTTTGGTATTGGGTAACTTTATAAGGAACCTAGGACTACAAAAAGGGAATAAGGGTACTACTGGGCATCCTAGTTCTTTGTCCACATCGGGATTCCGCGTGTCACGGTCCCACTTCTTTCTTGCGGCCTCTTCCGATAAACCTGAGCCGGAATCTGTCCGTTACGTTGGTTATCAACTTGCCAACCCATACAAATCATGCTAATGATCATCAGACCAGCGGCGACTCCATGACGGAGCTTTCTTCGATAAAATCTTCCTTGCAAAGTGGCTCATACATGTCGCCTCTTTCTTTGCGAGCTCCGTCGTTACAAAAACCCCTTAAATCCCTTCAACCTTCTACCCCAAACACAGAAGAACAAGGCAAGAGCGCTTGCGAAGCAAGGGCGACCCGGCTTCGGCGGGAGCCTCGCGGAGGAAGCAAAGTGCTTTTTGCCAGAGATCGGGCAAGGCAGTGCCACGGGTTTGAGGTGTGGGCTTAGGGTTAAGGGTTTAGGGGTTTAGGGTTTAGGGCTTTAGGTTTTAGGGTTCGGGGGCTCCTCTTAGAGGCTTACATGTCTTGGGGTTTAGGGTTTAGGCTTTGGGGGCTCCTCTTAGAGGCTTACATGTCTTGGGGTTTAGGGTTTAGGGTTTGGGTTTAGGGAGTTGGGGGCCTTGAGGGTTTAAAGGCTTCAGGGCCTGTGGGCTCGTTTCTGTCTTCGGCTTTTCTTCTTGTAGGATACCCAGTAACCTAAGAATAAAAAGGCCTCTCTTTTTGGTATTGGGTAACTTTATAAGGAACCCAGGACTACAAAAAGGGAATAAGGGTAGTACTGGGCATCCTAATCTTTGTTACACGACTTAACAGATTTGGGGATTCGGGGTTTATCTGTGTTCGGTGGCATCTCTATGAAACCCAGTACAAAATCCCAGACAGTGGCCATGGCCGTATACACTTTGGTTTCGGGATGATGATACTAAGTAAGGCTCATGTCAGTACTCAGGGATATTTTGCCTGCACCATGCTCTCACACGCCTAATGACCCAACGAAATGAAAGGTCGGATATATTTGAGAATAATGCCGCACCCGAATACCAACCAAAAAAGTTTATCAGGGCTGGATTGGATATTGCAGAACCAACTAAGGCTGTGTTCTCCAGCAAGTACAGCCTTACACATATACGGTCGTCTTTCTCGTAGTGCTCAGTTTCAGCATGGTGACCCCAACACAGACAGGACATGGCATTTATGAACCCCTGAGGGTATGTGAGAGCACTGGAAACCTAAACCTAAAACCCTACAGAAAAGAAGGATATGACTCCATGTTTGGCATATGTAACCAAGCCAGCGATGTTCGCCACTAACAACGATGCACGCACGACGCACGAGAATGTCTTGCAGCAGAAGTGATGAGTTCAGAAATGTCTCCTGCTCTTTCCTGGTCCTCTGTGGTCCACCAAGCGTTAGCGTTTAGGGGTTTAGGGGTTTAGGGGTTTAGGGGTTTAGGGGTTTAGGGTTTAGGGTCAGGGGTTTAGGGTTGAGGGGTTAGGGTTTAGGGGAGGTGTCACATCAAGAGTGCATGGCCAGAGCTCGAAGAGATCTCCTTGGTAGACGTTGAGGCAGACATAGAAGGCAGCATCCCAGTTGACACGGCTTGCTCATCCTGCTCGAAGACGCCAACGGGCAATGTAGGAAACTGATTAAGAAACCCTGGCACTACAACCCCAATTTTTTAAGATTCATACAAGGAGCCCCAAAGAAAGACCCAAGGTTTCCTGATCGGTTCCTACATTACGCTGCTTCAGGATGCTTTCCTGCTCGCGCATCTGGTTGGTCCCTTCATGCAGGTCCTGCCCGAGGCAATCTTACCCATAAGCCTGCTTTCAGGGCTTAAAGCCCGAAACCTCAAAATCCAAGTCTTTCAAGCTCTAGGGGTTTGGGGGCTTTTATGGGTGAGGGCTTTGGGGTTTCTGGGACTTTGGAAGCTTGGAGGATGTTTCAGGGCTTTGGACTTCAGCTTTTAATGAGGATTTATGGGGCTTTAGACGACAGGTCTGGTCTTCTAGTTTCTACAGTACGGCTTTGGCTCGTTTTGGTCTTGAGGCTTAGGACTTTTATATATGGCCTGAGTCTATGGCTATGGCATATACGGCCCTACCTCGATTCCATGAGGACAACTTGCCATGCTCGGCGAGGGAGGATAACAAAGCACTCGCATGCCGCGAACTGAACCCTAACCCCTTTAGGGCTTTTAGGGTTTAGGGCTTAGGGTTTTAGGGTGTAGGGGTTTAGGGTTTAGGGCTTTTAAGATTTTTAGTGTAGTTTAAAAAGTGATTATACAGTTCCCCACCAGCCAGCCTCGTCATAAGCTCGGACTGCGGCCAACGGCCATGATCGGGCTGTCGTGTTTAGGATCTCATGTCGGGGCCTTAAGAGCTAGAATACACTAGAATAGGGTTTAGGGTTTAGGGTTTAGGGTTTAGGGTTTAGGGTTTAGGGGGTTCTCTTTGGGGGTATGTCATAATCTACGTACTTCCGGGGCGATACGGGAATGGTATTACGAGTACAAAACACTCCGGCCCCTTTATTCCTTTCATGGTGGCTTAGGTGCCGGTCTTTGAAAAGGTGGGGCTTAGGCCGAGGGGCGAGGGATCATCTTTCTAAGCTTGAGCACTAAACATGAATAGGGGTTTCGAAATGAGGCTTGAGGGCTTAGGGCCTATATGGGCACATATCGACTACTCTGGGTCCTACGGTTGATGATATAAATCCTGCATTACCCATAATAGGGAATATACCATATATTCCCATAGTCTAGAGTCCTTAAGGTAATGGAGGGTTCATATCCTAGGCTGCATTGCTTCATCTATGGAGTAGCCTCGTTCTGGCTGGCGAGCAGTCATCCGGATCGCCGGTTCCTAAGACACGGTGGCGCGGTGAACCCTGGTCAAGCCTCAATCCCACAATCCTGCACTTAGTTGCTGAGTTCATAAGCCCCAAAAAGTGTACACTCCTAGTTTTATAGTGAATCATATTATCCCCAAAAGTGCAAGGTGTATCCGCTCAGCCACTAAGCGCATATTCTAAGACCGTCAACCCTGAAAGCCGAAGCTGAAAAACCTAAATCAGGGATCCTCGGGACAAGACTACGCTCCGGATGAACACCGTTTGGATGTGTTGCCAGGGATTCCTGCATACTTAGGTGCAGGATTGAGAAGAAGCGGGGTGCAAAAGGCTTCAGCCATACTGCGGTATCGAATGCAAGGTGAGGACTCTGTGGTAGGGCCTGTGCCTGAAAGGCTTCGTCCTCAATGTCTTGTCGCTTTTGCCGGGCGAGCATGCCTCTCCGATTCACGGACTCCCTCGGAAAATACAGACTTCCGAGATTTAACGCTTCTGGCATTGATGTACAGCACACCAAACAAGAAAAGTATTCTGCGTGGGTATGCAACTGTAACTCTTTATCTGTCTATCGACTCCTCTGTCTGTATGTCAGTCTACCACCTATCTACCTGGCTATACATATGTATCTATGTGCATACGTACATGTGAACTACACTATGCACTGATATACAGTGATGCTTTACGTTCAAGATCTCAGTTTGCTCGGGCTTGCAGGTCGTTGAGAAAGCATCGTGAGGTTGTGACTGCTGTTTCTCAGGCATGCAGTCTACCTTTCAAGACCATCTGTCTCAAGGCATGCACAGCTAGCTCCTATGTCACGGGCTACTACAGGCACAGTGCACAGCCTTATATTGAATGAGCCCCGTTGTCGCTATATTGCCGCATCATGAGGCCGCACTATCATGTAGCGTCCTAAAGCCTGTAAACCCTAAACCAGCAAACTATCCAAGGGTATACCCTTAATATAGCTAGTATAGACCCATTATATGGTCCATTATAGAATAAAAGTCCCCATTAAGGGTCCCTCCTTTTCCCCTTTGAAACAAGGTATCCCTAGCCTGGGGCGCATCAGCTGGGCCTTTGAGGCTGATGGGCTTTTCGGGGATAGTACTGACAAGAGCGACAGAGGGAGTCCGTCCGATCCAGCAGAGTCAGTCTCTGTATGCAATGGAGGGGGCGCTTTGTGCAGGTGCCACGAAAACTTGGTGAAAATTGCTAAGAAGGTGAAAACCGCTGCTGTGTTGGCTGACTGGGCATGTGCCAGTGAAACAAAGATTGAACCAAAGGTCTTAACTCCAGCGACGGTTGAAGGCTTAGGGTTTTGATCATCTAACTATCCTTCTGTTCATCCGTTCGTACACACAGACACACATTCGTACTGTGGCCCGACATATTCACATAGACATGATAGCCGGATGGACAGCAAACCCAACCTTAGGCCCTAAAGCCCAGCCTAAACCCCAAGAACCTCTATCTCCTAAACCTCGGCTGCCCTAAAAGCTAAACCGTCTTTGGTTTAGGGTTTCGGACTTACGCTGTTCAGGGTTGGAGCTTATTGGCTTACTGTTTAGGATCTAAGTCTACATTTGAGGGGATTACCCCTAAGCCCTATCAGAGATGGATAGGCAGAGCTCCCTGCCGGCAGACCTACGGAGATGTAATCTGCGAATCTAGAATAGATGACAGTCGCTGAAGAAGTCATCGCAATGACCGCAGCAAGGGATTAGCGTTTATTGATCAGGATTTGTAGGGTTGAGGGCTTAGGGCCGAACTTATGGCCTGAGGGCTTTAGCATGTAGGGTTTTGGGCTTATGGGTAAGGGTTTCGGGTGAAGAAGGAACACTAACTACAACAAGCAACCGCAGCAACTGCGATGCAACTTGACAATCTTAGTCATGGCAAAAGTCGCAACTACTGGCCAACACATGCAGCAGGGCATCATAGCAGGCGGACTACAAACGGTCCTGAAACAGCCCTTTCTCTAAGTCCCAAACCAAACCCCGAATACGTTCTTTGGCTTCGCAGTTTGCGGTTTGTTTGGCGACAAGACTTTAATACACCCCAAACGCGATTCCAGTCATGAGGGCCCCTATATATCACCCCAGCCAAACAACCTGAAACTAGTCCGAAACTTAGGGTTCAGGGTTTAGGGTCTATTCCTTAGTTGGTGAGTTCACACGCCCCAAAAAGTGCGCACTTTCAGTTTTATAGTGGGTAATATGATCCCAAAAAGCGTAAAGTGCATCCGCTCAGCTACTAAGATTCTAGTTATCAGGGCCTGAAACTTATGAGTAGATGGGCTTTCCATCCGCACTCAGGTTGTTCTGGCAGTTCTTGCAAAAGCGCTCTGCCTCCTCACCTGGATGCCGGCAAGCCCACGGTTTAGGGTTTAGGGTTTAAGGTTCAGGCTACTCTGCTAGCAAACCTGTTGGATCTTGAACTTATATAAGGGTGTGCGGCTGGGAGCATGGCTTTTCTCAAGTTCTAGTAACTCCAGTGCCACGAGAAAGGATTAGAAAATACACCTAAGCAGCCATGAACGACACCGACATAACAGGACCTAGGGCTCGGGGTTCGATAGAGGAGTAAAAGGCTACTATAAGGGTTTTAGAGCGTCTAGATGGCTTAGCGTCTAGATGGTTTAGAAAGCTTTAGGGTTTTGGGTTTATAACTCTCAACAGCTCTACCTTCCTAAGCCCTAGAGATCTTCAAAAGCCATACCTTCCTGAACCCTAGAAATCATGTGTGCTTTTTCAGAAAAACTCCTAACCCTTAAAAGCTCTACCTTCCTAAACCCTAAAAATCTAGACTCTAAGCCGGCCCCAGAGCACTTCTTTCTGCTGTAAACCACCTTAAACAACTAGTTGCTATAAGGGTACTATAAGGGTAGGGGCCTCAATAATTAGAATCGGGTTTTGGAGCCCATTATACTATGAATATGATAAGGAACCCCCAAAAAATTGTATAGGCAATTATTAAGGCCCCTATGTCAAACATCTGTTCCACACCCTGCACTGGGGCGCCCAGCAGCCGTCGGCAGTGGGGTTCAAGTCGCACTCGCTGAGGGGCTGCCATCGAACCTGGGAAAGGGCGTGCAGGGCCCTTGCCTTAGAAGTAAACATAAGTATCTCCAAAAGGTTTCTAGGGTTTGACAAAGTTACAAAAGAAACTTATCATTGACATTCTCAGGACTCTTTGGGGCTGAGGCTTCAGGGCGTGACCGTAGGCTTTTGCCTTAGCCGTCTTTGCTAATTTGGTGTTAAAGTTCAGGTCTTGCTTTGAGAGCTTTAGTCTTGACGTGCAGGGATCCCTGGGCTGCGAAACGGCCAACCGTGTTCTCCGCAGGCTCTAAACTGGGAGAGTTACGGTTGCTGATATAAATCCTGCATTACCCTAAGGACCCTAAACTATGGGAATTATGGTAGTTTCCGTAGTATGGGTCATGTAGGATTTATATCATCAACCGTAGTAAGTAGTAATATTATAGAGTTGTAAGTACCATATATAAAACCCAAGGTAGGATCCTTTCTAGGTTACGCACAACTCCACTCTAAATCACACCATGCTACTCCCCTTATAGCCCTCTAGCCCCCAAATGCCAGAAGCCCGAAACCATGTAGATATCGGAGAGGCCCGGCTCCAAAAAACCATTAAGTAATTGGAAACCCTAAAGATCGCAAGTCCTAAACCCGAACTATAACCTTGAGACCCCAATCCGTGGGGAATTTTCCAAATAATAGAAGTCCTTCCATGAGGCATCCTGAATGCTACCCGCTACTCATCTTCATCCCATGTATGTTTGGCATGCTTGCATGTACGCCCGCGCATGATGACTTGTCTTTTGGTTTCTTCAACCGGGTTCAAGCCTCACCGTGTATCTCTGCCAGCCAGAACTAGTTCTGACCGTGTTGAGCTCTCTTGAGGCTTCTCCCCCCTCATGTCATCTCAAACGCAACATCGGCACTGATGACAAAAATCCTATAAGACCTCAGCATCACAAAACAATAATCCTAAACTCCAGCACGCCAAGCCCTAAAACCGCACTAACCACCCTAAACCTTACCTTTGGTTAGTAGGGAATGGAAGACTGGTAGCAATAGTAGTTATAATTGTACCCCATTCCTCCATTCCCTACTAACCAAACGCAAGTATACTCGTGCAACTGGGGTCCCGGCAGCACCCGGATACCAGCTCGCCTTAAGCCTGGCTCGGCGAGTTTCTTGTAAAGCCGAGCGGCGTCATTTCATAAGAGTCGGAGTCTGGAATTATGCGGGTGTTCCATACCGAATCTAAGCCTCCCAGAGAGGAACCGGAATCCTAGAGAACAGAGGCTTCAATTCGACTTTAAATCTGAAATTCGGCCTTATTATTCTGCCCTATACCGGGGTCTTTAAAGGGCTCTACAGAAGATGTCTCGCAAGCTGCACCTACACTAAGGGACGCGTTTCTGCCGGGGTCGTCTTAAGGGCAATTATACAAACCCCATAAGCCCAAAACGTACTTATACTCAGAACCAGAAGCCTAAGGGCGCGTACACGATCCCTAAACCCTATATAAGCCCTCCGGTAATTGTAGTGATTCCATTAGGGTCCCTCATGTTTTTGAAACTCCTCAGTGGGCTTCGTCTACAACAAAGGAGCCATTAAGATGCTGGGGTTGGTATGAGGTTCGCTGAAGTGATCTCGTTACGAGTGATCGAGTCCCTCCTGTCTACAATGTCAGCTACCCAGAGCCCCTGGGAGGATCTGTAAAGTAGATCCCTTAATTCGGGGCCCTATACTACTAAGGTGTAGGAACCCCCAATAAGGGATCTACTTTTTGGATCCTCCCGGGGGTCTGGGTAGAATGCGTTTTGGCATTCCACGACTGCCATCTTGTGGCGGTCATGCTTTAGAGCCCAGGGTCTCTCCAGTAGGATCAGGTTGACACTGTTGCTGGAGGTGTGGTAGTACTAGTATCGATAGTAGTAATACTAGTAATAGTAGTAATAAGAGAAATAGTAGTAATAATGCAGGCAGAAAAAACGTAACGAAGCACTGGTGACTCGCCACCTAAAGATCTCAAGAACTGCATGCCTCAAACCCTACCTTGACCCTGAATAACCTACCTTGCTAGGGTTTCTTATTAAATTTTCCCTTACATAAATCCTTAAAAGCGTAGGTTGTTCCGGGTTAAGGTAACCCTGAAGAACTACAACGACAGCGAGCCTCGGGACGGAAACTCCAAACCAGGAGATTATTGCAACAGGCAGCATCCAAAGGTGAGTAGAGATGAAATCCTACTGCGAGGGCTTCAAAGTTCAAGCTTGGGTATATTAGGCTTGGGGGATGTTCAAGGCTGGTAGGGTTTCGGGCTTAGCCGTTTGGCCCTACAGCCTCGACCCCGAAGCACTCAACCCCACGGTTTAGGGGTTTAGAGGTTTAGGGTTTAGAGTTTAGGGTTTAGGGTTTAGGGTTTTGGGTTTAGGGTCCAGGGTTTAGGGTTTTGGGTTTAGAGTTTAGGGTTTTGGGTTCTGCCGAAAAGTGGGCTTCAAGCTTAGAGGGACTGTAAGGTCATTGCAGCAGCGTCCACGGCAAGAGATATGATGCACAGCCGAACCATCAAACCGGCTCTTTGCCGTTGAAATTCTAAAGTGAAGCTCAGTAGGGTCAGTAGTGTTTTCGGGGTTTTATGAAAGCTTTCTGGATTCTCGCCTGCTGCTGCTGCTACTGCTAGTCCTACTCCTACTCCGACTCCTACTCCTACTACTGCTGCTGCTACTACGACTACTACGACTACTACCACGACTACGACGACTACGACTACTACGACTACTACGACTAGAGAGAACCCGAACCCGAACAGACACCCCTACACTACTTCGTCATGGCCGGAGCACTGGAAAAACTCCAGGTTGGGGAGGGGCCCGTTGTTGTACTTCCTGGGACGTTGGATACGGTCTTCGGAAAGCTCATGGGTTTAAGGTTTAGGGTCTAACGGTTTAGAGTTTAGGGTCTTCTGAAAGCTCATGGGCTCTTTGTTGAGGCGGCTTCATGAAGGAATTGATCTGCGCTTTTCGGGTTTTGGAGGGTGTGCGCTTTAATGTAGACCCCTGTTTTTGATATCCCCCCTAAGTTCTCTACCTACCTAAATACGAAAGCGCGCGGAGTAAACCGGCTTCTCAGCAAATGGTCACTTTCCGAGCCTTGAGAAACTTCTACACCGGGTTTTAGGGTTCAAGGACGAGTCTTGGCCTTCGACTTCCAGTTTAAGACAACTGCCGGCATACGATTAGTTTTTCCTCCCCTGCCGGTGTGTCTGTGGTTCTGGGAGGAACTGAGGGGTTTAGGCTGTGCGGTAAGCAGCTACTACAACAAAATCGAAAATGGGGCGCGGGCGGCCAGGGAATAGGGTAGGGCCTACAGCGCCCAGTGATTTTGCATAGTTTCGTAGGGGGCTTTTGCAACTTCTGACCCTCAGACCCTTCAAATACGTCGACGCTTCTTAAATGCCGCATCCACGAAACCCACTGAGGGACTCCCAAACCCATGAACTACAGAACATTCCGTAAACCGTCATAAGGATCTGTCTGTCATAAAAACCCCAGTTCGGGTACACTGGAGTCTCTAAGGCTTTGAGCGGGAGACGGAGAGGCTCCGGGTGTCTCTCACCCCAGGACAAAAGCATCTAGAATCACCAGCCGTCCTCCACAAAAAACCTAGGAAAATGTCAGTTAGAGCTGTCAGAAGGATCATGAGTTAGACTGAGCCGTGAAGAACTCGAGAGTTGGATTTTGGCGAACTGAGCACATGATCCTGCTAGGAACCCAGAGATCCCAATACCCCTTAACTAAGGAATATACCTTAAATTATGCTGAGTTCCCTAATCTAATTTAAGCGATATTCCTTAATTAAGGAATATGGCTTGAATTATATAGGGCTTCATAGTATGATTTAAGCTATATTCCTTAATTAAGGGGTATTGGAGCCCTAAACCCTAAACCCATAGATCCCTTTAAGGAACCCTAGGTATTCCTTACTTAAGGGGGCCCTTGGGCTCTCTGGGAAACGGCTGATTGCCGATGTCTTCTAAGAATCCCAGTTAGGGCTTGGGGTTTAGGGTTTAGGGTTTAGGGTCTAGGGTTTAGGGTTTAGGGTTTAGGGTTTAGGATTTAGGGTTTAGGGTTTTAGGGTTTAGGGTGTAGGGTTTAGGGTCTAGGGTTTAGGGTTTAGGGTTTTTGGTTATCTTAACACCACGTAACCTACCTTGTTAAGGACTTATATAAAAAAATCATATTAAGGAGCCCTGAAAAGCTAGGTTCCTTAGGGTCCAGGTAGGGATTAGGGTTTAGGGTTTAGGGTTCTTGTAGTGCTTCGGGGGTCCGGAATACCGCTGCTCCAGTTTGGAGGATTCCCACGACCCACAAGCTCGTGGAAACCTTTGAGGCTTGGTCAAGGTCTGTGAAGGTCTACATATGGGTGGTTGTCAAAATTAGGGTCGCTTTTGGGGTCCCTAATATAGTACGGCACCTAATATGTATGGTACCCAAAAAGGAACCAGAATTTTGACAACCACCCATATGTTTAGGAAGTCCTAAACTTTAAACTGATTTGTTGGTGTTTTCCCATCCTTTTCTACTGGAGCCGCACAAGGTTTACAGTTTATAGTGTTTTGCCAAGACATCCGAGCGCTGCGCTTTGGCAAGGCTGCGACGAACCGAAAGACTACCTGCAGCTGAAGTGTCCTATGAAGGTTGCATAGGGGTTAGATAATGGCTTATAGGTTTGTATAGGCTTCTATCAGGGTTCAAAAAGTCCCAGAGGGTTCTATATGGGTTCTACAAGGGTTTTACAGTGTTCTACAAGGGTGTCACGGGGTTTGACAGGGTTCCATAAGTGCTGAAAAGAATTCTATGAGGCTTTTTCGTATGTGAACAGCAAGAGGGTTTTGGTTTGAATACATAATCGCTTGTCATATACCCCACTATCAAAGATTACAGCTGCATATGCGCACTCGTATGGTGCATGGTTTCGGGATTCCACTTGCGAGTGTAGATGCAACAAGGACTAATCTTTCATAACCCTATTCAAGCCTTCAAGCCCTAACAGAGTAAGTCTCTTTGTGTATCCGCTCCGACAAGATCCACGTGAACAGCATTGGGTTCAGGGTTTAGGGTGTCTCTGGTTTGCCGAGATGGAGTTCGAGGATTTTTACCCGAAAACCTGAATTCTAAACCCCACAACATAATATGGCAACCTGAATGCCCCAAACCAAACCCTAAATCCTAAACCGTCAATTTACAGAAACCCTAAACCTAAACGCTCATTCTTGAACTACGATTTGGGGCCTCGTTTTCCCAACCGTCGGGGCTTAGAATTTAGGTTGCGGGGTTTTAGGGTTGCGGGGTCCCGGAGGCCCCCGACTCCCAACCAGAAACTTGATAGGCCACAACCCCCAAGAAAAGCACAAACTAAATCGAAAACCATTAATACAGGAAAACGCCTTTAGAATCACAATAAGATGAACATGTTGAGTAATCTCCTGGAGTTCTAAAGTATCCACCGTAGAATTCCAACAACCTCCAAATCCTTAGTCCAAAGCTGCACTTGGCCTGAAAATTCTTAAAACCAAAAACCCTTGGCATCCCTAATACAGGGGCCTGACGAATTTGAACAGGGTCCTGGGATATACCACAGTAACCGCATAGCAATCGTTTAGTTTTGGGGACCATTAGGGAATCCAATCCTTGATTACGCAAACTCCTTCAGGAGTAAAGCCACGGGCCCTAAACCCTAAACCCTAAGCCCTACCCTAAACCCTACCCTAAACCCTAAACCTCTAAACCCTAAACCTCTAAACCCTGAAACCCTAAACCCTAAAACCCTAAACCCTAAAACCCTAAACCCTAAAACCCTAAACCCTAAAACCCTAAACCCTAAAACCCTAAACCCCGGCTGAGCTCCGCGCATCACTAGTGCCAGGAGGGATCTCTTCGATGAGAGTGAACTGGCCATTGTCGGACCTCTCGACAACGGTTTTGGGTTTAGGGTTTAGGGTTTTGGGTTTTGGGTTTAGGGTTTAGGGTTTAGGGTTTTGGGTTTAGGGTTTAGGGTTAAACTTTCGCAGGGGCATGTGGATTTCAGGCTCAGGGACTTGCGATTATAGCTTTGAGGCTTTGGGTTTAGGCTTTGGGGGGCTTCGGCTTTGGAGCTTTATGCTGTTGGTGTGTTAAGATGGCAGGTTTGGGTCAGGGCTTGGGGCATCCACACTTCAGGGGATCAGGGCTTTGGGATTTAGGGTTTGGGGTGCTCCATCTGCATGAACCATCGCAGCCACTGGCCGATCTTTATAGGCACACCGCCCTTCTCACGGAAGCCAGTTTCCCGATGCCTCAAGCATCATAGCATGTTCAAGCCTGCCGGCACAAATCAGTCGCTATCCTGCCACGGCACAGTGGCATTTCAGGCCTTGAATGATGGCGGTGTTGTAATTGCTCGGATGCCCTTGGGACTGCAGAATTGCATCCCACAGCTCAGGCGTGGAAAGGCTCATGGCCTTCGCGACGAAGTAACCGTGGACCAAGAAACAACAGGGCCACGCATTAGAGGGCCTTGCCACTCCGCCTTCGCTTCCGCCAGCCGGTTCATGGCTTCTTCCGGCAGGACTTCGAAGGTATCGACGCCCACTCCTCCCCTCCAGCGCCGCTGCTTGTGGCAGCTTGCGGGGGGCCGGTGCCTGACGACTGTGAAGCGCTTCTGAGGATCTTAATTATGGATTTGGTTTAGGGTATAGGGTTTAGGGTTTGGGACTTAATGGGTTTTAGATACTTGGGTAGCAGGGTGCTCTGACTACGCCGGCATCGATGATTGTAGGTCAGAATCGTTCGCTTTTGTAGACTCACGAAAAGAGAAAGAGGGCCCAGTTTTGCGTCCTTGCATGGCGCAAGCACATCCAATATAAGTGGCCTTCACAAACAGACTAAGGTTTGGGGTGGATTTGTAGTATGACTACATTTTTCTTTTTTTTATGGGGAAAAGTGTGACTAATTGTTCAGGGTCCGATACTAGGCATGCAGCTCGCCTAGGCGGGTCTGTCATATCTACATATCCGACCTCGAAACGGCAGAAGCAAAAGCTGGGTTTCTGTCGCAAGAAATTGTGATGACTTCTGGGTTTTTCCTGGAAGCTAGATACTCACTTCGCGTTGTGGTGGATGCTTGGAGAGCTACACTAATACAGACCAAAGCCCCTGAGGCCAAACCGGACCGTCGTCACCTTAGTCCGAAAGACAGTCTGTAAACTTTACATCACACCACAACCTCCGCACCACCACAGACCCAGACCCAAGACCTATGTCCTACACCCTCCTACACCCTATAATAACTAACGCTTATGTAAAACCCCAAGGCCCATGACCCCAACCTCACAAGCCCTGCACCTTACAGTTGAAGCCAGAAAGTTGGAATATCATTATCGTAACCCCTTTAAGGTAAATTATAGGGGGATCCTACCATTAATCCATATCCCAACTTTCTGGAGTCCCTAGTATATGCAAGCCCTGAACCCGGAACCCAAAGTATCCGAAACCGTGCAGAAATACATCCCCAGCCCTAAACACGAGCCACAAACCACAACCCTCCCCAATCTCTAGAATCTAAACCCAAAGCAGTACAAGCCTAAGGCTGGAACCATCGCCAAAACCGTAACCTCCAAACTTTACGCCTTTACAGGGGTACCTTATTTGGGGGTCCTTATAATGAGGATCCTGATATTTAGGGTACTCTTTTTACCTTACTTGAACCCTGGACCTTCAGCCCCAAACCGCAAGCCTAAACCCTAAAGCTGGGACTCAGAATCTTAGCTTACGCCGAGGAGGTCCATTGCATACCACCCCGACGGAATCCATATCTGTCGAGGCCGAAATCCATAATCACACTAGATTCTTGGGATTCTCTTGGACAATAAGCTCTCCGCAGTAATGTAGGGGCCTCTGCAACTAGAGTAAGCTGTTGGGGGGATAGTATGGTATATGTACCAATATTCATTATCCGGACGCATATATAATAACCCTAAACCCTAAACCTTGTATATGATGTCGTCCACAGGCTCCGGCGCACCATCCATGGCATTCGCTAGGACAGAGGTCTGCTCCTTTCTGAAAGAAAGCCCAAGCCAAAATGTCACCCTAAAGGGTTTGAGTGCTTTGGCTTTAGAGAGGCATATACGGTTAGTATGTGATATTAGGTTGAAATCGAATACACTGTGTTGTTTCGTTTGAGGTTTCACGTCGGTTTCGGATTTGAAGGGGGATCGTGGAGCTACGGGGTGGGGGAGCCTCGGCTTTATACATGCTTAAGGGCTGTGTGATGTTTGCCTTCGGGCTCAAGGTTTCTACAGGACGTAGCCCCAATGGTCCTCACCGATGTAGTAGAAAGTGAGGTTTCGACATCAGGAATTACTGTCATGATGTCGGTAAGTATCCCCCCCATGTAGGTGCTTAGGACTCTTTAGTAAAACTCATGCTCTTCAGGGCTTCGGGTTTTCGCGGGGCGGTGGGCCTTAGGGGTTCACGTTATAATCCCTGGCCTGTACACACCCGACGATAAGCTGACTGTAACCGTACCCCCCTTGGAACCATAATAAAAAATACGAGTTTGATAGTCTCTTGGGTTTTCTATGAACAAAAATATTAAACAAGAAATCCTAAGGAGACTATAGAATAGAACTTTAGATAGCTGGCTACAATCAACAATTGCTACAAGACACTGTAAAACTTACCTGTAAGTATCCCTTGTCTAGCCAAACGGAAACCACCACGCGCAAAAGACAAACTTCAACAGGGTCAGAACCCGATAGCTACCTGTAATTTCGGTGTTGCTTCGGATAAACGAAGAGGGCTTGGGCTTTAGGGTTCAGGGGTTTAGGGTTTAGGGTTCCGGGGTTGGAGAAGAGGCTCGAAGCCCTGAACCCAAAGCCCTAGACCTTGGCCCTAAACTCTACGCCCATTTCATCACATCGCAGGACGCTGGGCGCATGGGCTTGTATGGTTTCCATGAGGGCAACACCTGGACCATGAACCAACCGGGAAAACGAGCACACGTACAAACACAGATGTGCGCATACATATGCTCATACATACAGACCTACATACATATTGACAGACATACAGTGACATACATGACAGACATAAACGAGGTCCTCTGACAAAGGGCGAAAAAAGCAGGTCTGAAGCAGCGGGTCAATCCTGAAGCTTCCCTGCGGTAAGTGCAGTCCTCGATGTTGTTCACCTTCCCGAAAACACCGGCCTTGTCAAACTCTTGAATGATGGGAGGCCACCAGGGGGCTTCAAGAATCTTGGGGGAGGGATTCCGTAATATGAACCCTATTATGGGAACCCTAATCCGTACTAAACCCCCATAGGCTAAAACCCCTTTTGGCCTCCTATGACTGTGAGGGCTCCTCTTGCGACTGGGTTCTTGTTAAGGAACTTGATTTAGGTTACCATAACAAGAATCTGGAAAGGCTCCTTTAAGGGATCTACATAATACTATATAAGGATACCTTTAACGGAAGGGAGGCGCAGTTTGGGTGTTGGGGGGGTCCGGCGGTCTCCCGATGCTTCGCACTGCAGCAACGAGGCTGCCTCGAAAAGCTTGATCACTATGCACCATATGGGAGTTTCCGAAAATCGGGGACCCCAATAGAGTACCCTAAATACTAGGATCCTTGTTACTGCATCAGGACCCCAAGATAAGGTACCCCCAATTTTCGGAATCTCCCATATAAACCCAGGCCCCGACCCCTAAAGCGTCTTTCCGCTTCAACGGGCTGCAATAGGTGGTAGGGTTTAGGGTTTAGGGTTTAGGGTTTAGGGTAAACTACGCAAGTCGCTCATCGAATCCCTAGCTACGACAGATCCGGTCCTGAAGGCTTCAGAAACATGGCTCCTTTGTTGTATGATGCTTGCTCACATACCCCTGCTTACGCCCAGAAGCGTCGAAAGAACATGCAAGCTAAGCCTCGACCCAAATCCTGAACCCTTAGCCATAAGCCATACATCCTAAACCCTTATAGGTTCGAGATCCAGGAACTTTTCAAGATCCGAGGGTCACCCATAATGTTTACATGTGCAGATACATGAACTGCTTTGCATTGCATTACATTACGTGCTCTTTATTTGGCTGAACTGGCTTAACTTGGCTATACCTAACTACATGCAGACCTGCCTACATGCTTATATAGCTACGTACCTACGTATGTACGCATGTACATATGTACATACATGCATGCATGCCTGCATGCATGCCTACATACATATGTGCTTATGTACTTATGTACTTGCATACATACATGTGCAATAAACCTATATGTGCATATATATATATATATATATATGCGTTATGGTTGTTACGGGTCGTGACAGGAACACTAATTACTGATCGTCTACTTGAACATATAGGCCCTGAGTAGAACACCCCCGCTTTTATTAGACCTTTTACTTAGTTGCTGAGGTCATAAGCCCCAAAAAGTGTACACTTTCTCTTTTTATAGTGGGTAATATTATCCCAAAAAAGTGTGAAGTGTATCCGCTCAGCTACTAAGTTTAGCCTAGCTGTGATTTCGCGAACCAGCCCTCAACTTCCTAAACCCTAAACCGGCAGAGGCTTTTTTCTGCAAGGTGCGGCTCCCTGAACCCTCTCGCTTGCAAGCTGCCCCAAACCCTGAACCCTAAGAGCCTAAACCCTGAACCCCCTCTCTTGCAAGCTGGCCTTTTTGAGCACCTTGTCTTCTGGATTTGTCACTGACGCTGTCACCTCGACCCGGTTTAGTGCTGGGTTCCTTCAAAGGGTACTTGGAGGTTCATGGGTAGTAATAAGTCAGGTTGTAAGTCCCCTAATGGGGGTTATAACCATAGTTAGCCGAATTACAACCCCACTTATAACAAGCCATGAACCTCCAAGTAGACCCTTCACCCTATACCCTTATAAGAATCACTATAGATCCCTTTAAAGGGACCCTTAAATGGAACCCTTAAAACTACCCATGAACCTCCAAGTACGACAAGAGGGTTCCTCAAGGTTCCTTTAGAGGGTCTGAGATGGGAATCCTTAAGGGCCTTAGAGGGTTTAAGGCTTTGAGGTTTAGGGCCTTGGGGTTTAGGGTTTGGGGTTTAGGGTGTAGGGTTTAGGGTTTAGGGTTTGGGGTTTAGGGTTTAGGGGTTTGGGGTTTAGGGTTTAGGGTTTAGGGTCCGTCAAGGTATCCCGTGCGGTGTTTTTGAACGACTTCCCAGAAGGGTTATTATCGGGGGGCTTAGAATTGGAATAGCGCTTTTTTCCGGAGATTCGCGTCATAAACAAGAAGCTTAGCGGATAGTATGAGTGAGTACTATTACTCTGAATGCTAAGGCCAAAGGCCCTTAAGGAGTCGCATAGTTGCTTTGCAGGGCTTCGGTCAGAGAGTTTCAACCCGATAAGCCCAAAACCCTAAAACCCTAAACCCTACAACTTATAACCCTACAACCCTATGACCCTCGACGCTGATGGGAAAGCTTGATGAAACTTCGGCTGCAGGGCTGCAACGTCCCGACTTCCGGGGGAGGTTTGGGGGTTGCGCATGTGCGTAGAGGGTCTTCGTTGTTGAGGTTGGTGGCTTAGGGTTTAAGGTTTAGGGTTGCTCAGGGCATCAAGTCCTAGGGTTTTGGAATTTTAGGTTTGTGAAGCTTCGGATTGGGAGTAACCTCTCCAGGGTACACCGAGCAACGAGGTTTTTGCCCATCTATGGAGCGACTTCAGTGCCAAGAAACTTCGGACTGGTCGACGGCATTGGGGCTTTGGTTCCGATTGAAGGGTGGTGCATAAATGCCTGAACAAATGGACTGCACTAGTCGTAGTAAGGAACCCTACGGAAGAATATTGCAAGTAATTTGGCTGCAGAAGAAACAGCCACTCATCCCTACTCATCGTCTTCAATTTAGCCCATACCTGAACCCTGTGCCCACCCTCCAAAGCCTTAAAGGACCGCGGTTCGGGCAACAATTGGGAATTCTAGAGCCAACTTGGGAAACAGTTCGCAGCACTACCTAACGCCTCCAGACTGTTTGCAGACCCGTGAATCCTAAACCGCCTATACCCAGACCGCAGGGAGGATCCAAAAGGTGGATCCCTTAATGGGGGGCTCCTATAAAGTTAGTAGAATAGGGCCCCAAGCTAGGGGATCTACTTTCTAGCTCCTCCCGGGGGTCTGGGTTGCTGGCGCGGGGAATCCTAACCCTCCACCGTCGGCGCATAATTCACGCGACCACAGCAACGAAGGCACGTTGTTCCTGAATATGTGTATTATGACACATGGTTGACCCTAGAGCCTAAAGCTTCTAAAACCATGAAGCAAAAAACACTACATTCCCGATAAACACCTACAGAACCTTGGAATCCTATAGAACCCAGAACCTAAGGAAACCCCAAGCCCTCACTCCTCCATCCCTTGGCGGCCCTGCCTCCACGCACCGCGGCTCTAGGCCATAGGTCGCCCTGGTGCCCTTGAGCATCTCGCCTCCGGTATTCACTAATTTTAACTCAAATAAATTACAACTTATTCAATTTCAACCTATTTTGTTCTAAATAATTGTACTATGTTATTTTTATATAATATGTGGGGTGCATTCGGAGCTTGAGTTCAGCTTAACAGGGCTTATGATCATGGGTTTAGGGTTTAGGGTTCCTTGTCCTCCCTTGAAAAAGTTTCAAGCCCGGCCCTCAAAGCAAGGGTGCAAGGGCCTGTGTCTATCTATATCGCTTCATACAACCGCCTTACCACCCTACAGACAACCGTAAAGCCCTAAGCAAAGATTTGTCGAGATTCCTATTCCAAAACTTAAACTGAGAAACGAAACTCTGAACGCTGAACCTTGCAGACAAGCCCAAAGAAACAAAACCGTCAACAAGTACAAAACTCTGGCTGAAAGCCCCAAACCCTACAATCCCACACACACACCCTTCAACCGAAAACACAAAGACCTAACCAAGTCATGCACCAACTCAGAGTGGAGCCTGCAACCCTCCATCCCATACCAGAAGCCAAATCCTGGAAACCCCAAACCATAAACCATCTCCATGCATAAACCCTGGACTGACGCTAAAGACATAAACCTGAAACCCTGAAGCCCTGGAGCCTTCCTATGGAAACGGGAACCGTCTAGAGTCCTCATAGAACCCTTATAGAATCCTTTCAGAACACTGTAACCCGAGATCACCAAACCCTAATAGCCTAAACGGAAACCCTAAGTCCAAATAAAAACCCTAGAAACCCACACACCCTAAATCCTAAATCACTAACCCCTTAAACCCCCTAACCCTAGAAACCCTACAAACCCTGAATCCCAAGGACCCTCAGAGAGCCCAATACCCCTTAATTGAGGAATATAGCTTAAATCATAATATGTATCCCCTTATAATTCAAAGTATATTCCTTAATTCAGGGGTATTGGGCTCTCTGGGCCTCTTTCCCAAAGACTCCAATATCCCTTAATTAAGGAATATACCTTAAATTCTAGTAGGATCCCTAATATGAGTTAAGGAATATTCCTGAATTAAGGGGTATTGGGCTCTCTGGGCCCCCACCCTGTAATAGTGACTATAAGGATTGTATTAGGGCCCTATTATATTCCTATTATACCACAATTGCAGGGTGGGGGCAGATTCTAAGGTATTGGGCTCTCTGGGCCTCTTTTTCCATCGCAAGTCACAGGCTTCTTTGGCGACTCGCAGGTCTGGTGCTAGCTATGCAGCGGGCGCGCGGTGTCCGTCGGAAGCTCGTCAGACGTGCTTTACAAATCTGAAAACACAAAACTTTTGAAATCAAAAAAATGTTTCAACTTAGGGTGCATTTGTGGTTTTTTGTATCCCTGAGCTCCTAACCCCCAAAAACTGAACAAAAGTCTTCAGCGATTCGGGGTTGAGGGTTCAGCATTCGGCCTGCCAACAGTAGCCATTACGGCAAACCTTCACTGAGATATGGTTCAAGGATTAAGCTGCCTTTTCAGATATACAGGGGGTTCGAGTTTCGGATTTGCAATGACACCGGAAGCTGCACGGTCTGTGTACCCAGAGACTCCAATATCCCTGAATTAAGGAATATACCTTAAATTATAGTAGATTCTCTAGCATGACTTGAGGTATATTCCTTAAATCATATTAGGGATCCTACTATAATTTGTGGTATATTCCTTAATTAAGGGATATTGGGGTCTCTGGGCATGTGGCGGGGCTGAGGGTTTCAGCTCCGCGGCTGCACCGCTACCTAGGGCCACGACTCCGCAGCAGTTCGCCGGCTCGAAGTTATTATACTTATACTATACTGAACTTAGAACCCTAGCAAAAATTGTATTTTTAGCTGTTTCTTAGGGATTATAATAACCAAAAGTTAAAAATATTTCTAAGTACCCCTAAGTATAGACCCATGATTCACAAACTCCTCGGCTGAAGGATCCTAATACAAGCATCCTAGCATCCTATTCTAATCCATACGAAGCCCCGAAAACCTAAACCCTCCAGCCTCAGGGGGGGGATCAGGGAAGGGCAAGCCCTGAACGATGTTACACTTATCACTTGTCGGCGTCAGAGTCCTATGGTATCCTGATTCGAACCCGGCCTCCCCGGGTGAGTTTATCTAGGTTTCCCGGTAGGCCCTGCATAACAAATGTACCCTTTTTCCTGCTGCTTGGTTTTAGTGAAGGTGTCCGAAGGTATCACTGAGGAACCTAAAAAATGCACAGACAAAACATGCGTCTGAGACAGATCGAACCTTCGGGGTTTAGGGTTTGGGGTTAAGGGTTTAGGTGGGTTTAAGGGTTTGTAGCAACCGGTACAGTTTTCTCATGTTTGGAAGCCACGGGAAGCCACTGTAGACACTCATCAACATTCCGCATTTGCACCCACCAGCATGAATCCATGGGCCAAGGTTACACAGGATGCTCACAGTCGCAACATTGCTCTCCGCCCGGCGGATTGCTTCAGAACGGCTTCAATGGGCTGACGTTGGACGTGCAAAGCTTCCTGGAAATCGTACATCAATAACTCAGTTATTCTAGGCAACCAAGCCTGTATCCAGATGATATAGACAACACTGGGACCTTGAAGGAGCCTAAGGCCCGAAACTACGGAACCCACGAAAACCTCTAAACGCTACAATGTGCTATAAACCCTGAGAAGACCCTTCAGCGAATCTGCTAGGGATCCTATGACAAACCAAGAACCTCCTTGCACGTCCCCTGAAATCGGAGCATGTTATACTAATACAGTATACTGTAACCATACACCCAACTCATACAATATACTGCTACAACTTAGGAATACCAGGCAATTATCATATACTGTAATGTATACAATAGTATCAGGTGCTGGTGTATGTTATATCATCATTCTAGTATACTGGTATAACATACCAGACTGTTACTATCTAGTATATGAAGAAGAATACTAGGGTTGATGATATAAATCCTGCATTACCCATAATAAGGAACATACCATAATTCCCCTAGTCTAGGGTCATGAAGGTAATGCAGGATTGATATCATCAACCCTAAAGCCTAAACCCCTTATAGATCCCTTAAAGGTACCCTTATAGATCCCTTGAAAGGAACCCTAGGATTTATATCATCGACCGTATCAGGTGCTGGTGTGGTGGCCCTCGGGTTGATCCCCTGGCCCCGGTGGGCCGGAGAGCCAAAGCGTCACGGCAAAGCGCTTCCGCCGGGTCTTCAGCACCTCGTGCGGTACGTCCTGAACAGGCTTCTCGGGGCTTTCGGGGGTTTAGGGTTTTTAGGGTTTAGGGTTTTAGGAGTTTAGGGGTATATGGTTTAGGGGTTTAGGTTTTAGGGGTTTAGGGTTTAGGGGTTTAGGGGTTTAGGGGTTTAGGGTTTAGGGGTTTAGGGGTTTAGGGTTTAGGGTCCAGGGTTTAGGAGTTTAGGGTATAGGGGTTTAGCATTTAGGGGTTTAAGGTTTAGGGGTTTAGGGTTAAGGGGTTGGGGTTTCGGGGTTTACGGGTATAGGGTTTAGGGTTCTTTTGCTTTGTGCGTTTCTTCATGTTTGAATAATGAAAGACTCCTAGGGAAGTGAACAAGGAGGAGAGACATTGCCCTAAACCCTATCCGTCGGCTGCGATGCAAGGTTCGAGGGTGAGTTTTGGCCGCAGATGAGATGCTTAGGCTGCAGGTCGAAGCCGTATGATCTCAGGGGGTTCGGGATGTTTGTCTCTAGAGGCTTCGACGCTCCGGGCTTCAAAAGTGTCGGAAGTGATACTCTAAACCCTAAACCAGGACTCCCCATGAAAGGCGGGCAAAGGTAGGCTTGACGGAGCTCCCTGCAAAGGAAGCCACCAACTAACAAGGGGGCACAAAAGTGCAAGACAAAGGCTAAGAGCCTTAAAGTTCGGAGCCCTAAACCCCTAAACCATGAACTCCTACAGCAGTGTCTTAGGTACCAGATATCTACGCCCAACTAGCAGAGTTCTGGCCCCCATCTACTTTTCGCTGCCTTAGGTTTCGTCACAAGCAACCCTACACTTCGGATGCAACATCGTAAACCCTGCCGACACCGTCTCGGCAGAAGTCTCGAGCCCACAAAACCCTAAACCCTGGACCCTAAACCCTAAACCCTAGCACCCTAAACCCTCGACCCTAAACCCCAGCAAACATGCCAACCAAGTCGCTCGGCTTCGGAAAAGGACCAAACGTCCCGCTTCGGGGGCGATGTCCTGCCGGACGCAACCCTAGAAATAAATGAAGGCTAAGTTCCAAACCATATGGTCCTAAAGCCATCCTAAAGCCTTTACCTAACACCTGCAAGACGAAATCCTTTAAAGCCTGATTCCCGAACCCTAAACATTTGAACTGAACCCTACACATACTGCTTCCATTTTGAGCTGTTGAGTTTGCTTGAGGGTGTTGGGTTTCACTACTTTCAATCTGGGGCTTTTGTGGAATGGGGCTTAGTGTTCGGGGCTTTAGTGGTGTGGGGCTTACTGTTTGGGGCTTTATCAGTAGGTGCATGGAGAGGAAGTAAACAATCGGATTGTTCGAGGTCGTCCGCAACCATCGTGGCTCCCGAATTTCCGAGCCGCTAACTCAAAAACTCAGCCATGACCATGCCACCCTCCTAAAGGGAACTCCAGAAAGTTGGAATATGGAATAATGGCAGGATCCCCTATATTTTACCTTAAAGGGACTATGATAATGATATTCCAACTTTCTGGCTTCTACTGTAAACTGCAACAGCCTTAACACCTTGACCCAAAACCCCCAAGAGCCCAAATCTCCAAACCCCAAGAGCCCTAAACCCTAAACCTAAAGCATACAGACCTCATCCCGGTTACCGAGTTTGCTTGGCCCAGACTTATCGTGTATAAGTACGATTAAGACAACGTTCACAGGTTGCCTATACCCAGGATACAAGTGGTATGGTCCGAAGTTCTCAAATCAGGGGGCCTTGGAACATCCATCCATCCATGTCTTGGGCCCTGAATTGTCCTACGTTTCTAGGGCCATTTAGGGTCTA